AGCGGGGACTTTGGGGAAGGGGCGGAGTTGGGGCGGGGCCGGGGTGGGAAAGGGGCGGGGTCAGGGCCCCGTGGAGTGTCCTCTTTTTTTATTTTTTAAATATGGTAACCCTAGTCTACACTAGAAAATTAGATCGACACAGCTATGTTGTTCAGGGGTGTGAAAAATCCACACCCCTGAGCGATGTGGTTAAGCTGACCTAAAACCCTGTGTGCCAGTTGATGGAAGAATTCTTCTGTCAACTTAGCTATCGCCTCTTGGGGAGGTGGATTACCTATGCTGACAGGAGAAACCCTCCCACTGGCGTAGGTAGTATCTACATGGAAGCGCTGGGCCACTATAGCATTCCGGGTGTAGTCACACCCTGATTCTCTCCTCAGTTAGACCAGTGAAAAATCAGAAGACACTTAATTAGAACTTTAGAAGCAGAGGGCTGGAGAGATCTTAAGAGGTCATCTAGTTCACTTCTCCCCCACCCTTCCGCAGTGCTGAGGGAGAATTAAGTACACCTAGACCATCTCTGACAGAATTTTGTCTAACTGTTCTTAAAAGTCGAAAATGTTAGGGATCCCATAACCTCCCTAGGTAACCTGTTCCAGCACGTATCTATCCTTAAAGTTAGAAAGCTTTTTCTAATATCTAACGTAAAGCTCCCTTGCTGCAAGCTAAACTGAATACCGCAGACTTACACAGGTGTGAACCTGGAGCAAGCAAGAGGAGGAGGAGGTGGCAACTCATCTTCAAACCGTGTTTCAAACAGTAACTGAGCCTCACACCACCACGTGAGGCCAGTGCTTTAACAAACCAGTGTCCAGCAGGAATTCATGCCGCCCACCACGGCTCCTCAGAACTTCATGAGGGCAGAACTCAGATTCTCCTGTTCCCAAAGTTAGCTGCTGGCAGTCTAAAGCTGAGGAGAGTTGAACAGTTGCAATCCCAATTTCATCTACTAGAGGGTGGTAGTACATGTGCATATGAGTCTGCTCGTTACTGAGTTATCCTCACTTGCAGATTAGAAAGCGAGACACAATTTGGGACACATTCTAAAAAGTTTTTAGGTCCTCAACTCCCATTGAAATCAACTGGTATTACGCACCTAAATACCTTTGAATATCCAGCCCACGGAGGTTATAGGGTCTTGCCCAGTGTCAAGGAGGAATGCATATCGGAGCTAATATTAGAACTCAGGGGGTACTGGCTCCTAATGCCACACTCCATTCCAATGCACACTTCCTTTCCTTCTCCCTCACCCTTTTAAAAACCATGCCAAGGAGCAGCAATAACCGTGGGGCGTGATGAAGGATGAGGGACTATTTGCCAAGGCGTTGCCTGGGCTATTTTATGCTCACAACAGACACCCGCTCTGCTGGATGCCATTTAAAAAACAGATTTAGTCACTTGCATGAAGCAATAATGGCTTGTGCAAAGGAGTCAACTCAGCATTTCAGTAGCCAACATGACAATGTTATTGCTTGCACATATGTCAATAGGAGTGCTCTACGACAACTAAGTTGATTTGCTTGCACACACACACACACACATACCACGTAAGCAGCACAAGGCACAAACACAACACGCTGGGAATATTAAAGCCTTCAGATTGTCAGTATCTGTCTGTCATTAGCTTTCCTAATTCTTTAAAATCACTTGGGCGATTTTTTTTTTTAAACTCATGCAGAAAAAAAGTCCCTTGACAGCTGAGTATCAGCGAAGGATCTTCTAAGTGATGGGGGAGGAATCAGTATAGAAGTCAGAGGATTCATTTGCAAGGAAATATTCTTTTGCTGTAGTAGAATTTGTTGCAATTCCCCAAACACAGATGAATTACTGTAGTGTAACAGACAAATTACATTCAGTATTTCGCTGTGCCTTTACTAAGCAAAAAACAACAACTCCCCGTTGCTAACGCGACAATTGGTCGTATTCTTCTTCTAAGAATCTATTGTTTGAAGATAGATTGTTTATTCTGAAAAGCTTTGCTGCTGGGCTGTTGAACATTAGTACATGGCTACAAGGATAGACCACTTCCCCATGGCAGATTCCAAAGAGCATGTCCACTTCACTTGTAGATCAATTTTCAGCATTTCCAAAGTACGTAATGATAGTTCTCCAAACAAAGAGAAAACACTGATTCAAGTCTAAATCCTGGACCCCAGCCAGCAGTTTAAGAGCCTGAGCTTTGGGATAAGTCTCTCTCCCCATGGTATGTGGGAAAGAACTGCCCTACCTGCCCATTATTTGGCTGCGGCTGTAGTCTCAGGAATTTAGGAGGCTCCACGATTTAGGCATTCTCCTTCAAGGGGCAGGAGGAGAGAAATGCCTGGCAGATAAGCATTAGCCACGGAGCCCAATTCCATCACTAAAGAAAACAGTACACGTTTGGATTTTGGACAGCCCAATGGAGCAAAGCTCCTGGATGCTTAAGGGGCTCAGAGCTGATTCCGTACCTATCACACTTACAAAACTCCCGTTGACTTCAGTGGGATCCATGTCTTTGCAGCCTGCAGGATCTGAACCAAAGTGTAGCGGTCTCACTGGGGCATCACCCCTTTGCTATATCATTTCTCACTACTGAATAAGGGGGATAGAGCTTCCCCAATATTTCAGAGTTTGCTAGTCCAGGGTTTCAAGTCTGAACCACATCTCTTATTTAGACAGGTAGAAATGTACAGATCTATTTCCTCCCTTTGGCCACGGACAGTTACGTCCGACATGTAATGTTTCCATTCTGTTTGTATTGTACAATGTGCAATTGTTTCACCTGCTCACTGTGTGAGGCTCTATTAATTATTTGGCAAACAGTGAGAAGGAAGTCAAATCAGAAAAGCCACTTGTTTTCAAGGAGGGGTGGCATCATCCTCTTTAGAGAGAAAAAGCACCTGTTACAATCACTTACGAACCAGAAAATGCTTCACACTGACGTTGCTTGAATACAGAAGGAAAAACAGTCAACTGATGCTGAAAGAAATACCAAGGCGAATTCAGGAACTGTCTACACAGTGGGGGACATGTGCTCTACAGAGGTGTGATTTCTAAAGTGCACTAACATGTTGTGTATTAATTGATCTGTGTAGACCCGGCTGGTGGGCACTATAGGTTCCCTACTGTGCTTTAACGAAGTACTTTTTCGAACAACACTATGTTAAAGGGCACCAGCAGGGTCTATATGGACCAATTAATACACAACGTTAGTGTGCTTTAGAAGTCAGACCCCGTACAGCGCACTACCCTACTGTGTAGGCTGGCCCTAAAATTAAGACAGGTGGCATATAAAGCCTTAAATTTTCTCCTGCGGATCAGCAAAACAAATAGGCAGTGCCAAAGGATGTTCAACCAAGTTTGAAGTGACTTTTGGTAAAAAGGAGTTTGCCTTTATTAGGGATATACTTTCCTCTTCTGCTATTTCTCCTTCCACAGCCCATGGAGCTAGACTGTGCTCAGAGGTGGCAGATGATAGAACAAGGAGCAATGGTCTCAAGTTGCAGTGTGGGAGGTCTAGGTTGGATATTGGGAAACACTATTTCACTAGGAGGGTGGTGAAGCACTGGAATGGGTTACCTAGGGAGGTGGTGGAATCTCCATCCTTAGAGGTTTTCAAGGCCCGGCTTGACAAAGCCCTGGCTGGGATGATTTAGTTGGGGTTGGTCCTGCTTTGAGCAGGGGGTTGGACTAGATGACCTCCTGAAGTCTCTTCCAACCCTAATATTCTATGATTCTATTCTACTCCGTCCCCCTGTGCTCATCTACTCCTTCCCCAGCTTCCATTTAAAGTCTTGGGCCATATTCTCAACAGGTGTAAATCAACATCGTTCCACTGCACTCAGTAGAGCTATGCCAACTTACTCCAGCTGAGAATCTTGCTCTTTGGTTCCAATCTTCTCCCACGGTAACATATTCCTTTGGTTTGAGACAGCTACTCTGGAGTTCCCAATGCATTCAGCTTCCTGAGTGTAGGACTGGGCCCCCTTAGTGCTCTGAAACATTTGCGGGTGTTGAAATGTTAGGCTTTGCCTTTATCAACTCCTTTCAATCCCCCTCTGCTTTGTCAGCCTCTTTCATGGATTTTGAAAGCCCTTTGAGTAGTTAAAGCAGAAAATTAAGAAAGTGGTTTGTTGATTTAGAAATCCTTTAATTATAGAGCATTATATAATTACTACACTTGACAATAAATAAATATCCTTGAGAGAATCTCCGTAAGAACGATTTAAACAACTCCCTTTTTGGTTGTTCTGTGTTTGTGTTCTAATTACCAGGGTCTTGGTCTTCAGAAATCTACCCTCCCTGACAGGACTGCAATATGAAGGGGAAACGTCAGTCACTGGGGGGGAAAGAGAAAGATAATATAAAACATGAACAAACCCCACTGCTACTCCCCCCACATCAATCTTTTTCATATGTGTGCAGAGAAATAGCCATTTTCCTCCAGCTCTTAAAATCCAGAGGCACTGTGACTGGATGCCAGGAAAAAAATATTAGTGGCAAAGTCTATTTGATTGAGAATAATCTCTGAGAGAAGTGGTAGAAACCCCACTGCTTTGACATTTGAAGCTCACACAGGAGTGGGACGTGTCACTGTAATGCAGAAATCAATCCTACATTAGCAGGTGGGAGGCCAAGATATGAAGAATTCAGTCCATTTATTGGTAAATGCCCATTTGCGCACAACTGTTATAGGGCATAAAACTGAGGCATAGAGAAGTTAAACCACTTGCCCAAGACCATTAAGTCATTGGGAAATTTGGTACTAGAATCCAGGAGCCTTCACTTCCAGTGTCCTTCTGTAACTACTAGATATCTGCCTCCAAATTTGACCTACATCACGTATATAGGAAATCTCACATGTATACATACTTAACTATATTTTTCATGCAGTAATGGATGTGCTTTGAATTCAGGTAGAGACTAACATTCTTTATACTGAACCTCTGAATCAGTAACGTTCACAATTGCCTTCTACTGGAGGGAGAAAACTGCTCAACTATATGTCATAATCCCTGTTCTGCTAACAGTGAAAGGAGATTCTCCATTAGCTGAAGTGCCAGGGGCCTGTGCTTTGGAAGCAAGCAAATCTGAGTTCTAGGCCAACTTTCCCCCTGAAATTCCAGATGTTCATGGTGTGCAGCAGAGTGACAGCTTTCAAGTCTTAAGTGGCCACAGATTTGTGACAATACTTTGAACCATGTGTATTTGGAAGGTTAATCTGCACTGCGCTACCTCAAGCAAACAAGAGTACCTTGGGAAAATGGATTAATTTATTTCATAGCCATGGATCTGGGGTATCTCATGCCTCCATATAGTGTCAGAGGTAGCATTAGCAGTGAAGGTTTGTGATGTCAGAAAGTAGGTAGGTGCTATTGACAAAGGTGCACCAAGAGCCAACATGCAGCAGTGGGTAAAAATCGTAATGGATGAGAGTCTCACTCTGTCTGGCCCAAAGAGCCTTCCCTGCAATGGTGGGCACTGCAGCTCCATTTCTCATTCAAAAATTTAAACAGGAGGAGAATCTATCTACCAAGGTTTCCTGTAATGCTCAGTGTGGAATATCAATCAAGTTCTATGGGTGAAACCATTAAGGACTCAGATACTACAGTGACGGAGGTTATGCAAAATCCTAAAATACACAAGTAAAATAGTTTTTACATCCAGATGGGGAGTCAAGTTACCCAAGCTCTTATTCTGTATATTTCATTGAATAGGGAATCTGTCTCTTCACCTGCAAGGACAGAGGATGCTTGGCGCAGAAGCAGACAGGTGAAATCATATGCTAGGGTCTCTTGCTGGATACAGCTAGGAAAGAACTGGCAATTCTCTCTCCCCTCGCCCCCCCCACCTTAGCCAGCAACAGAACGCAAATGTGAGAAATCCAGATCATCTGATGCAGAAGACAAGAGTTATTTTTTTAGACTAGAGCTGGTTGAAAGTTTTCTGTTGGAAAATGCTGAGTCAATGGAACTGAAACATTCCATGGGAACGTGTTTAATTCTGTTGGAATTGTCGATAGCAATCAGACAGACTAGCTGGCCAGCCTGCCTGGTGATCATCAGGCTGCACAGCTTCCCGGGCTGCCCAGCACCCTGGGATGCAACGGCCTAGCTCCCTAGTTCTCCAAGCTGCCCTCCCGATCCTCAGGCTGGCTGGCACATGGGCTGGCTGACTTCCCCCGAATTTTTTGAAAAATTCCATTCTGGACTTGGGGGTTTTTTTGTTTGTTTGTTTGTTTGGTTTTTTTTAATACATTTGAGTTTTGTGGAAAATTTTGCAATTTCTGCTTTTTATTCCCAATCAGAACCAAAAATGTGAAATGATAAAATTTTCAATAGATCCAAATTCCATTTCCTGCACACCTCTACTTTAGAATCAAGAAGTTCTTTGGAGTATCATTGGTTGGTTGGTTGCATGTGTTTTTAAGTTAGTTCCCCCTATTCTTCTCCCAGCTGCACGAAACAATAGCTACAGAACTTCATTTAAAAGGATGCAAGTTGTGCAAATGAGAGTAGTTTTGCATGCAGCCATGCTCATTTTGCTCTGTGAACCTGACCGATCTCACCAGCTGGGCAACATTGTTTTCCCCATCTTTCACTACCACATAGCTACAGTAAGTCATTTTCAGCCTCATACCAAAATACACCACCGGATTCTGCAGAGTTCATCTGTACTGCAGCCTACTTTTCGGAATATGAAGCTGATTCCAGAGTTGAACGAATAAAAGTAGAGAGAGGTAAATAAACTAAGCCCAGTGAATCAAGGCTTAGTGAATTTTTAGTGAATCAAGTTACAGTCTGTCTGGCTGTTTTTCCTGGAAGTTGGTGACTGAACAAAAAGACAAACCTACTGCTCAAAAGCAAGATTAGCCTCTCTAACTCCAGATGATCATGTTGCCTTCCAAGAGTCACTCCCCATTTAATTGCATCTAGAAAAATTAACTTACTGTCAAAACCTTTAGTTACTTACAAAATTGTTAATACAGAAAATAAAGTTTGGGGAGTTCACGATAGCCTGTTACACCTAGTTGGCATGGGCTTCAGCCAATGCAAGGTGGAGTATATGCCGGTAAATACAGTACTGTGAAGTCAACGCTCTCATAAAGGCATGAAGCATTTTAAACTAATCTATTTCCCAGACACTTCTTTCATATTGCATTAGGAATTAGAGTTGCAAATCCTTCCGCTGGTGCATTCCATCATGTCACTTGTCCACACTTTGTCCATAACATCTTCTCTATAGTTGGCAAGTAGAGGAGAAGCTGACAAACTGAGCAGCACATTTAAATGGCCTGCGATGTGAGACCTCTCACTCAATTGCCAAAGATCAGCTCAGAAGGAGAACCTGAGCTGGAACCCCATTCACTCCTAAGAGGAGACAGCTGGCAGGGAGTTTTCTGTGGGGGCCATATATACTGTGTGCTCTAGGCAGCCTGGGTTGTTGTTTTTTTTAAATAAAAATGCAGCTCAAATTAGGAAGTTCAAAAGAAAGGCAAAGGACCACCCTGCATTGCTCACTACCCACTCATCCCTCATGGGATTACGTCTGCTTTTTAACAACGCAAAGAAACACAGCGGTGTGAAAATCAATGTACAGGGGGAAATGTCATCACCCGCAGATAAAGATCACTCTCAAACAGAAGACTGACAGCTATTGGAAAAGGAGGAAAGATTCAGGATAGGCAGAAAAAGGGCAAGCATCCCATCCATCTTCAAGTCTGACAGCTTCAGCAGGGGGCATGCAGATGCCCTGGTAGCTCTGGGGAGGGGAAGCTTGCACAATGCCACAGCCTGATGATCACCAGACATGAAGGGAGGGCCAAGAAATGGTGGTTCAGCCTCTTTGGGCAATTAATGTCTTCCTGCCTAAATGTTACATTGGGTATCTGTTTACGCTGCAAAAAAGACCCGCAGCAGCAAGTCTCAGAGCCTGGGTCAACAGACTCAGGCTCATTCTATGGGGCTAAAAACAGCAGTGTAGATGTTTGGGTTTAGGCTGGAGCCCAGGCTCCGAGACCGATCCCCTCCCCAGTTTTCAGAGGCCAGGCTCTGGCTTGAGCCCAAATGTCTACACTGCTATTTTTAGCTCCATAGCCCAAGCCCAAGTCAGTTGACATGGGCTCTGAGACTCATTGCTGTGGGTCTTTTCTGGTAGTGTAGACATACCCAGGAAGCAAAAGAAAAATGGAATTTGTTTAAAAAAAAAAAAAGAGTAAAAAAAAAAATATATCAGAGCAGAAGATGTTTTAAATATAGGTAAATCACCTGCGTATGTATATATGCACAGACAGATATAGAGTTTTATATTTATATGCACACATATGTATATTAACACACACTTTTGATAATTTGGCTGTACAGTCCACTACCATTCAAAAAGTAATAACAAAGAATAAACGGAAGACACAAGCTTTTGAGTGTTTTCATACTGACTGACTTAGCGCTTATTTTAAGCAGCTGACACAGATAACTGGATAATGCAAGTAGATCTTAGCAATACGGAAGAAAGCTCTGTACGGTGCTGCCATAATCAAAGGATACATGAAATGGAAATATAGTTCTCTCTGTAACTGAAAATCTAACCACTTGGACTGGCTCAAAGGGGAAATGCTGGTTTAAGTATTTTCTATTCTAATTGCTGCTTTTCAGAAACAGCAGGAAGTCAAGTTTCAAATCACTGTAGCATCTGACTTTCCCCAAGAAGGAATTTATCTTTCCCTGTGAATGACAATACACTAACTCTGCGACTGCAGCCAATTTAACCTTTGCGTTATTCTTCCTCCATTTTAAGTTTAAGATAACTGCATTTTTCTAGTATTTGATCTTGTTATTTATGTGTGTGAATCAAAGGCCCTAGAGTGGTAAGAGGTGCATTTAAAGATCACTTTCTGAAGTCTCATCATGTGCTTGACCTTTAATAGAAAAGCTTGTGAATAAAATGAGCAGTAAAATTATTGAAGGCTCTACAATTTGCCTTTTAGGTGTTTTATGACTGCTGAAATATGAAAAATTTTAAAACCTCACTTGTAAGAGGCTGAGTGGCAGGGTGGGTCATTGATATAACAGTGGACATTTCACTTGTGAAGATATTAGAGAGACAAGGTGGGTGAGATAATATCGTTTATTGGACCAACTTCTGTTGGTGAGAGAGAAGTTTTCGAACTACACAGAACTCTTCCTCCATCTTGTGAAGATGTGAGTTCAAATCCTGCCTAAGGTAACAAGTGAACATGAGTTTGGTGGTGGTTTCACCCAAGCCCGCAGTGGAAATCTGACTAGGAGTGGGTAAAATTTCTTGGCCGAGACTTTTTCCCCCCACTGAAAAATGCAGATTCAAGTTGACCCAAATGTTTTTTAAATGTGCACAGAATGTATTGAATTGCTTCAGTCCAAAATAATGGGGGGGGAGGGGGGAATGAAAACATTTTGTTTTGACACATTCGATTTTAAAAGCCTGTTTGTTCTGAATTTTACTAAAAATTATATAAGAAAAAAATTAGTTAAAAAACCTGAAAAACTAAACATTTCGTTTCAAGACAAATGAAACATTTGTTTGACCCAAAACACTTTTTAAAAAACTTTTGCCAGAAGATTCAAAAAAATTTCATTTAGATTTTTTTAAATTTTAAAATGATTTTTCGATTCAGACACTGAATGGAAAAAAAATCCTTGATTTGCACTATTTTTTATCCAACTCTGTCATGGTACCACCATAAATGGCACTTATTTCTCAGCAGCCCAGGGAAAAGCTGGAGTTTTTCAGGATTATGGTCCATTGGCTGAGTTGGTCAGGGAACCCAAAAGTGCAGTAGCAGGCAGTGCTATAGGTCAGTAGAAAGCTGTGTTAACAGAAGCGTGCACAACACCTTGCATGTGCAGGACTGCTGAGATATAAAAGGGGTTAGGGCAAAAGCGACATGCAAGTATGCTCCGATATGACTTTCATAATGCATTTGATTCCAAATTGCCTCGATCTTGAAGTCAGATTTAAAATTTTTATTAAAGCTAATATTAAAAAAAATTATATAATACACAGGTTGTGAAAAGAGTTTCTGTACATGTGGGTATAGTGCTTATATTATCCACAAATATAAGGTTAGTTTTTAAAAGTCATATAATAGAGTACATAATCAGCAATAACCCACATTTAGGTGAATAGATTTAACAATACAGTTACTACTGTGGTGACTACGTGTTGACTTACGAGGAGAGGCTGACGGAACTGGGGTTATTTAGTCTGCAGAAGAGAAGAGTAAGTGGGGGATTTGATAGCAGCCTTCAAGTATCTGAAGGGGGGTTCTAAAGAGGATGGAGCTCTGCTGTTCTCAGTGGTGGCAGATGACAGAACAAGAAGCAATGGTCTCAAGTTGCAGTGGGGGAGATCTAGGTTGAATATTAGGAAACACTGTTTCACTAGGAGGGTGGTGAAGCACTGGAATGGGTTCCCTAGGGAGGTGGTGGAATCTCCATCCTTAGAGGTTTTTAAGGCCCGGCTTGACAAAGCCTTGGCTGAGATGATTTAGTTGGTGTTGGTCCTGCTTTGAGCAGGAGGTTGGACTAGATGATTTCCTGAGGTCCCTTCCAACCCTGATATTCTATGATTCTATGACTATGGTATAAACAGCTAAGTAGGTAACTAGACAAAGCCCATGCTATGCCTGTCACTATTCAGTGCTATTAGCTACTTACATTCATGAACACCAAATCTGCACATAAATCATGGGACTGGAAGAAATCAAAGGACCAGATCTGCTCGGAGCAGCACCCTCTCACCAACCATAACAAGAAGAGAAGACTGAAGTCCAAGACAGGGGACCTGGAATTGTGAAAGGACACTGACCGAGTTCCCAAGGACTGCTCAAGAGTGGTGAGGAAACTGAGGCAGGGAATC